AAAGGAACTATTTTCTAACTTACTTTATATGACCAGTATTACCCTAAACCAAAGACATTACAAGAAAATTATAGACTGAAATATCTCATGAATATAGATACAAAAATTCTCAACAATATATTAATATTAGCAAATAAAATCCAATATGGTCTAAAAAATGTAGTGCTCTTAATATGTGTCTTTAAGAGACCATACACCCAATGAAGCTCTACACAGTTATTAAATATGTTTATTATCATAAACCTTATAGTTAATATAACCTAAGTTTTAAAACTGGATTATAATTCAGTATATGAGTATTAGTCTATGTAAAAAGAAGCCCTCGCTCTTTCTACCTATATAGGAACACAAACATACACACGTTGACATACATACATACATATAAATATAAATAATATATATAGCTATAAAATGTCTAGAGAAAAAACAAAGAATGGAGGAAAGCAGGTGGCATGGAGGTTAAGGCAGCTGGATCCCACTTGGCCAACTGACTGGTTCAAGTCCCATACCCATGGCTTGAAAAACACCAGATGCATGTACATGTACATTTATGCCCAAAAATCCCAGGAAGAGAAGGGGTTGTGGCATGGCCTTCTCCACTGGGCAATGAATTCTCACTTTCTCTCTCTCTGTATCTCTCTGGTGAGTGTGCACACCCTAGAGCAAAACAAACAAACAAAAAACACAAAAAATGAAACATACAAACAAACATACCAAAAAACAAAGAATGGACATGAAAATAATGAAAAATGGCTGAATGATTAATTTCTTCTTTAAACTTCTCTATCCAATTATTTTCAATTAAAAAGTCACTTTCATAAGCAGAAAAGTTAAATTTAATAACAATAATTAAGCCAAGCTTTTACAAACAGTAGCAACAAACCATGGAATAGAGAGGAATCAGAGAAATGCATGTGCTGTTGGAAGCAAGAAGCCAGAGCAATGCAATGTGATAAGAATTAAACCATCATTGCTGGTTTTAAAGATTGAAGAAGAGATCATGAATTAAGAAAGGTCAGCAGATTTTTTGATTGGGCTATTTCTTTTCTTGCTACTAAGTTGTTTTTCATGATATATTTTTGATGTCAGCTTCTTATCAGGTGTATGGTTTACAAAATATATTCTTTCATTCCACAGATTGTTTCTTTATAAATTGTTTTCTTTGAGAGAGAGAGCATGAGTGAGAGCATGTCCCCCCAACAGGGTCTTGATGCCATGCTCCAACCCCAGCCTTTAGCCAGTTCTGGATTATAGGCAGATATGTGCCTGGTGTTCTTGGTCTCTGGACATGAATTTGCAATCTTCTTATGTAGGACTGCCTCATAAATGTCACATTTTTACCACTGTACTACTGTCTAGTCTCTATTTTTGCTTTTGTTGATATAGCTAAATCTTTGCCAAGATAAATGTTGTGGATAATTTCTCCTTTTTTGTTGTAGTAGATTCATAGTTTCAGGTCTTATGTTTAAAATCTTTATCCATTTTGAGTTAACTTTTACATATGGTGTGAGGTAAAGATCGAGCTTAATTTTCTTCAGACATCCAGTTTTCCCAGCACCATATTGAAGAGACTCTCCTTTCATCATCATTGTTTCTTCATTGTGTGTTTTTGGCATCTTCTCAAAAATCAACTGACCATAAATATGTGGGCTTATTTCTGGGTTCTCCATCCTGTTTCATTGGTTAATGTGTCTTTTTTTTATTTAATAAAAATAACATGCTGTTTAAGTGAAATATGAATGTACATGAAGATACATTTTAAAACCAAGATGCTGGAGCCAGCAGGTGGCATGGTGGTTAAGGCACTGGACTCCCACATGGCTGATAACTGTCGAGTCCCAGATCAGGTGACTGTTTTCTCACTTTCCCTCCTCCCTCTCTCCCTCTCTCTGTCTGTCTCTCTCTGGTGAGTGCATGTGCTCTATAATACATTTTATTTTTATTTATTTTTATTTTATTTTTTATTTTTTGGAGAGGTTTTTGCTATAGGGCGCGTGCGCTTGCCAGACAGACAGAGAGAGACAGAGAGACAGAAAGCGAGAAATCACCCCCCAGAGGGGATGGGCACGCCGCAATCCCTTCTCCTCCATTCTCCTCTCGGGATCTTGGGCACACACGCACACGTGCCCGGCGTGAGTTTTAAGCCACCGGGTCCGGGACGCGAACCGCGGTCAACTACGGGAGTCCTGCGATATAGCCATTACACCAACTGCTGGTTCCCATAATACATTTTAAAAAATTAATAATGATAAATGAAATTAAGTGATTCTTTAAAAAATCAAGATGTTAAGGCATAATAACATAACACTTTTTCTCACAAAGAGTGAGTATAGGGCCAGCAGGTGGCATGGTGGTTAAGGTGTTGGACTCCCACATGGTCACCTGTGGTTTAAGTCTCAGACCAGGCAACTTAAGAATCACTCCTGTAGATTGCACATGTGTGCCCAAATTTCCACAAGGAGAGTGGAGGAGAGGAGGTTGTGACATAGTCTTCCTTTCTACGGGGTGACTTCTCACTTTCCCATTCTCTCTCTCTGTCTCTCTCCAGTGAGAAAATAAAATGGGTATAGTATTTAAAAACTCTATTCATATTATCTCTTTAAATTAATAAATCTCAGACTAAAAAAAAGTCTAATTTAGAGAATGCACATTGCATTCTATCTGATAAAATAAATAGATAATATCTGACAAGTATTTTGTTTTGCTTGGCCTTTGCCTGACAGGTCAAACTTAAAAAAAATTCTCAAATTTATTCCAAGTTAAACAATGTGAAATTAGCTTCTAATATCTTCCCAGAAGCAACTGTAGTATGAGTTAGCAAGTGTAGCAAATCCCATTTAATCCTTAAAAATCAAATTAATTAGAAGTTAAATAAGAGCTAATGTAGGTCTTTTTGACAGAATTGGCTATAAAATCCATGGATGACATGACTTGGTTGCATTTTACTTGTACTTGAAATGGTCACTATAATTTCATCTCAAGGGGTTATGGTCATGTGTGTTGCAAGTGCTGCCTTGGCAAGAATAAATACAAAGGTCATGTTCACTTAGCTAGAAATCTACCATATCCTGTGCAAAGTAAACAAACATAATTCCTAAAAGCATCTTATTAAAAATGTTAGTCTTTGATGCTGAGCAATAGGGAATTCTGAGGTGATTTAGTGAAGACTAATGTAACAAAGAAATGAAATTGAGTACATGGCCTTGCAAATATTGATGGCCAAATTGTATACTCTCAAATATGATTGATTGAGCATGCTATTGGAAGCTTTACATAGAAACTCCAAAGTCTGAATGACAATATATTTCTTTAAAAACACTTCTGAACAATTTTACTGTGGGCCATTTTTATCACGGGTAAATCAATGAGGAAAACTGGTATAAGTCTGAGACTAGAAAAAACAATAAGATAGCAGAGGAATGTCAGAGGTCTCAGGGTGGCCATGCCCAGTGAGGGGGTACATTCTCACTCTCTGTCTTTAGGTCTCTGTCTTTCATTAGCATTCATGCCCTCTGGCAAGTTAAAAGGTTTTGTTTTATTGGGGTGGGGGCAGGGAAGGTTTTTGCCTTAGGGTTTGTGTCCTTATCAGAGAGAGAGCTAGAGATAGAGAAGGAAAGTGAGAAATCAAACCCCCCTGGGGGGTGGCCATGGCAAAATCCCTTCTCCATTCTCCTCCTGAGACCCTGGGCATGCATGCACACATGCCTAGTGTGATTTTGAAGCCACCACGTTGGGACTTTAACTGTGGTTGGCCATGTGGGAGTCCAGTGATGTAATCATTATGTCATCTGCTGGCCTCCCAACATGGGGTTTTACTGATACCCAACCACCTCGAAGGATTTTTTTTTTTTTTTGAGGATTAAGGCTCACCTGTGCTAAAAACTTCACATGCAGTAGGTGCTTCAAAAGATAGTGACTTTTACAATGAACATATTTTCTTGAAAATGTATAGCAAAACTTGACTTAACATTCTTTGTCATAGAGTGGAATTGAGAAAAAGACAAGGGCATCTTAGACATATTTTAAGTGAACTACTCAAAAAGAAATTCAAAATATCCTGGAGTCCCAGAGCATAGCACATTACCCTGTTATTTTCACTGGAGCAGTTATCAATCATTGTATCTCAGTATTATAAAGATTTTCCCAGGGTCAGCATGATAGGGTTGTGCAGTGCATGTACACTGTGTAAAGGCAACCAGCCAACTGTGTGTGGGGGACTGGACTCCAGATCACACTCTTCTCATCTAGCTCTATGCCTGAGGACCTGAGTTTGCACAGAGGCTTTGTTTTCCTTACATAAAGGAATCCTAGAATCTGGACCCGCTCT